GCTCCTGGTGCCCCCTCCATACTGGTCTTAGGCATTGCAGGGTTCATGGTGGAGGGGAGAGCTGCTGCTGGTGCATGCTTGAGTACGGGAGCTGGGCACCGTGCTGGCCCTGGACCATGGCCTGAGGGGGCCCGGAGGAGGCGGGTTGGGCCACAGGGTCAGCGCCCAGCGGAGCCATGATGGGAGCAGTGATGGGGGCAGGACGGGTGTAGTTCTCCCGAACCTGCTGAATGATGGCAAAGACATGTTATTTAAAACATGCAACGTCCTCATCTGTCATAGATTTACATAATGTGTACTGTCTCCACTGACAGACCTTATTCTTTGATGCTCTGCTCAGGGCCGGAGGGTCATTCCAGCCATTCTGAGGCCCTGCAGAAAGAAAACAACACGCTAATCATTCACTCATTCTCACACTACCAGCGTTCAGTCTATATTTTATAGTTTGAAATGTGTCCAAAAATTTGATCACAAAACTCACAGCATTTCAAGGACGAGTTTGACATTTTGGGAAATGCACATATTCAATTTCATGCTGACAGTTAAATGAGAAGATCTGTGTCTGTCTATAAGCTTAATATGAAGCTACAGGCGTTAGCTTAGCTTAGCATAATGACTGGAAAAACAGATCACTAATCAACATATTCTATCTTTATGTTTAATGCTGTATTAAACAACACTATTTCTTGGTGCTAAGCTAACTGACTGCAGCTTTACAGGGTACAGACATGAGAGTGGTATTGATCTTCTCATCTAACACGTGTGTTTTCCAAAATGTCGAGAGATTCCGTTAAAGCCTCACTTAAAATCTACAGTGTTGCATTGATTGTATGAATTTTATTTGATTAACATAATGTAATAATCATATAAACATCTTCATTGTAGCTTTAAGACAAATTTCTCACAGATGTTAAAGTTCAGTGATTCAGTCCATCAACCAATGTGTACTACCAACCGGGGAAAAAAAGCCATGCAAATTTGTTTCAGAAACGGGGCACTGTAGCAATATTTAGTTTGAACTATAACCGTGATCTCTTCCTGTAGCATTTCACTCTATTCCAAAGAAAGCTGGTTTTAATCCAAACAGCAATCAGCTTTAATTTAAGTTGTGTACAATTCAAAAACATGATTTAAATGTGATTAATATCTATATTAAGTCTGGTCTGGGACATCATGCGTGCAGGAAGTTGATGAACTAATTAGACAATGATGACCTTTATTCTTGAGTCAATAAATAAAAATGTCCTGAGTCATCTTGCTGAAAAAGGCAGAGACTTATAGTTATACATAGTATATACAGGTTTTTATAGTGATCATTTTAAGTTCCTAGGCCTTTTAGTATAGAATATAATAAGAGGTTTGTTTTTATAAAACCAGACTGCTTAATGTCCCTGCCATCTTTTCCAAAACATAATCGATCTTTGCCACCGTCCACCATATGCCACTTTTACAGATTCTATTTATAATAATACAGACATGATAAATAAAAGCCATTCATTATATGATGATTTTTATATTTAAATGATGCATTCATCAAATTACAGTCAAAAAGTGAGGAGAAAATGTAACAATTAAAATGTATATTCTTACTCTGCTATTAAAGGACAACTTATTGATTGATTTTAAAAAGGAATCTGTAAATATTAAAACAGGAGTCAAATGACTGACACATAAGAGAAACATTTTAACGCCTTTCCTAAAATACATTTTGCAACTTTTTTCACTTGACGTGTATTAAAGTATTCTTTGAAATGCATATTTAATTGATTCATTCATGAAAGCTTTTTGTGAAGTTTTTAATAAATGAAATTATTGTAATTCAACACTGTAAAAAAGTATGTATTCTTCTTATTCTAGTGGCACACCACAGGATTCATACTTCATATAATCTTGTATGGAGTTGGGCAGCACGTTAAAGACGCCCTCATACTAAAAACTGTTATTACAGAAAATTAGAAACTCGGACCACAGTTATCTTTGAACATATAGTTTAAAGATAACTGTGAGTTTGTGAGGAGGACAGTCACAGGATGAGGATGATCAGAGGCATGCAGACCTGTTCTCTGAGAGGCGGGGATCAGCCCGGGGTCATGGTCTAGCTGTGTACCTGAGACTCCGCTCGGTGGAGGAAGAGGCATGTACGACACAGGAGATCCCGGTCCGCCATGCTGAAAAGATGCTCCGGAGGACGGAGGAGCGGAATAAGAGGAGGAGGCAGTCGGAAAGAAAGGAGGATGGGAGGGAGGGAGGAGGACAGGCACTGGCTGATGGGAGGTTGCCTGGGATAGACCGGATGTGCTGGCTGAGAGGAGACAGGCTGTGTGTACTGAGAGAGAAAGCCAGGAGGCTCTGCAGGAGGAGGAGCAGCAGAGGAGTACTGAAGAGGCTGATAGAAAGGCGCCCCCCCAGCTCCATGGGGGTACTGGCTGACCTGGGAGTAGGCTGGGAGTCACACAGGATTCAACAGATGCTGTTAGTGAAAAACTGCCGCATGTTATTAACTAACTGTATCATGCAACAGTACAGACTTGTAATAAACAGATAAAGACTAGTTACATGCTAACATGCTTTATGTTTAGCTTGTAGGTTACAAAAGACTCAACAGGCAAAGAGATAAACATATTATGTTAAAGACATTCTCATCTTCTGTTAATGAGAACAACAGCATAAAGGAGATGAGGAGTTACAGGGTCAAACATTTCTAAAAAGAAATGCTTGTCAGTGTTTTAAAGAAGAGAGAAGAAGTTGTTCATGTGCCACCTACTGATGCAACCCTGTCTTCTACGAATAAAGTTTATATACTGCTTAGTCACTTTGCCCAAAAATTGCAGCCACTGAGGTCAGAGTTAATGGTTGGATGTACAAAGCACAGCAGCTTGACACACAGTCCTGCGTCCCACGTGTAGTTAGGTTCAGGCTACTAAAGGTGCTTTCAAACCTAACCTGTTTGGATCGGTTTGTTTGGGCTGGTGTGAAGGCGGTAAATTGAATTCTGGTGCAGCTTTAACAGCTACGTTTTCCTGTTACTTTCATTTCATACAGCTCATTGGTTAGGAATGCAGGAACAAGAAAGCAAACACAGGAAGAAGGTCCTGTCTGCCCAAACATCAAGAAGGCAAAATACTTTGTTAACGCTACAGGTCAGACCGGTTCATTCTCCGGCTAGCTGCTGGTAACTGTTGATTAAGTTGTTGACCATGAAAACGATACATTCAGTACGAACATTTTGCACTGGGAGTGAATACATAAATTGCCCCAACAAATGAGTTGTATAGAAACTTCATTTTTAGGAGACATGGTTGCTCGATGACATTTAACCTCAGACTCTAGTATGAAACAGTGCTTTTCTCTCCGTATCAAAGATTTCATTCTAAAGTCAATAACTCTTGTGTGAAACACGGCTAACTCTTCCGGTAGGATATGTAAAACACTTACGCTGGTACTGATGGGACATTATGTATGCAGGAGTGGAGGAGGGTGGAGGTGCAGCAGCTGTGCCGGAGGGTGGCATCCCGTACATGGGGTTTGAAGGCTCCATCTGCAAAAACATACAAAAACAATCTGAAACCATATTCCAAAACAAAAGATAGACAACTATCCTCTGATTATCGTCTCTGTGTGTGTGATATCTCTAGCGTCAAATCACAATAATCTGAGTGCAAGAGAGACAAACGAAAGAGAGTAGACAGTGAATGCATCACGGTATCAACAGGATGCGGGGTGGCGATGGGGAGAGGCAGGTAAGGACAAACCACAGCAGCCAAATAGAATTTGGGGTTTAAGGTATTTATCAGATCAATGAACTGTAAGCTGTGTAATCTGTAAGCATCAGCAAAGGTGTGTGTCGAGGTCGGGTGGGCGGTCAGTATACCTGCTGGTCTGAGGCGCTGCCAGTTTGAAGAGGAGGAGGGGCATTGGGGAGGGCTGTGGGAGTTTGGTTACTCCAGGAGGTGACAGTGGAGGCAGCCCTCACCTGGAGCACACAGAGACACACGGCACATACCAATGATGGCCGCAGCATGGGGGGTGGGAGGTGGGGTGGGGGGAGTCCCACACATTACCACAATCCAAACACACCAGAGCCAGGGTTCAAATTACAACTCAACTCCCTCCCCCCCAAAAAATAAATGTTGTACATTTTCATCATTAATATATAACGAGTACATTCAGGAATCAGCATGTGATTTAAATCCTGGCTACAATGGAAATCCAATCAATGAAATTACTATAACACAACAGCAAACAAGTGCAATGAGCACTAGTGGCTAGTTAGGATGTGGTAGGGATGGGGTCTGATAGCATTTCATCAAATTCAAATCCAGTACAAAATCCTTTAGATCTTATCAAATCTTATCAGGGTTCAACATGTAAGTAACTGAAGGATAAATAATTTGTGTAATCGCCTTCTGTTGGCTGAGAAGGTATAAACACTACAGGTTTTAGTGGCAGACTTCAGCTTTACATTTAAGCTGAAGTGTGGAATATATAACTAAACGTTCGTTAGATTCAAGACCTTATCAAACGAGTTCTCTGATTAAACCTATTCCCGCCAGGCAAGTCTTTGCATTTCGAAGAGTTTTTTGATCAGGTGTTTGTGGTGAAATTCCTGTGCAGAGATGCCGTTTGCATCAACCAGCAATGATTGGTTTGCCAGAGCTGAAGAGTGGAGCAACCCAGAAACATGTAGAGAGCTCCACAATCCGCCATTGCTGTAGAAGAAAACGTCCACTGGAGTGGACATTTAATTGTTTATTATGATTGTGTTGTTTGTATTTATATGCTTTGGCAATGTTGTATTGTATGCAGTCATACCTTTCACTTTCCTCGCCAGACAGAAGAGAAGGGAATATGCGCAAACATGAAGTCGCATCTGTTTGGTATCTGTAAAGTATTTGGAGTAGGCTATGTAGCTATTACATTTGCCCTGCCTAAATAATGGAATATTAATTATTATTGTCTTGTCACTTTAGAAATGTCTATAATTTTGTTACCATTTTCAAACACCTGTAAGAATGCGTCATGCCCACGCGTCAATAGCATTTGTGTAAATACTCTCTCTACCAGAAAGGGGAGACAAAAAGTTCTGCACAGCAGCTTTAACAGCTGTAGCTTCCTGTACTACACCAGCTCCAAATACTGAAGGTCCTGAATCACAACTATTAATTTAGTCGGATTAAATGTTGATATGAATGAAATTGAAAAGAGGGATATTCTCAAATTGACGTGAGGCGATCAGCTCATCATTTCTCTAAAGAAGAGTCTCCGCTATGTGGAACTACAAAAACACAGTGATGCGTTTTTTCACTCTCCAACAGTCTTTGTCAGAAATTTACAGACACCAGCTGCAAAGAGCAAATTAACCAGAGAACAGTCACACTTTTCATTTTAACTGAAAACGTTTGATAAGAGATTTGTTAGTGTCGGAGCTTAACCAGTATTTTGCCAAGTGTGAACCAGCTACTGGAACCCATCCCTAGTGAACTGTAGATGCTGAAGACGTAAATCTGTGTGGATCCTGATGTCTAATGATAAAATGTTTTAACACCAGGTTTCACACAGATTCAGATTTATGAGACTGATTACGTCAAGGTTAAGAACAGTAAAAACTTGTGTGAACACTGTTATGTGACACTGTGGAAACACATACTGGCTGGTAATACTGCGGCTGTGCTGGGCCGGAGGCAGCAGGTGTAGGCACGGGTACTGGAGCTGCTGCAGGGGCCTGAGGCACCAAGGCGGGCTGGACCGGGGTGAACGGATGTCGGGGCAAGGCTGAACCGTGCTGAGCCGGTGTCGGGGCAGGTAGCCGAGACTGAGGTCTCTGGGTTTGTACCGGAGCTGCATGAGCCACCGCCTGCTGCCCCAGAGCCCGACTGAGACGGTCCCGAAGCTGCTGTATGGCAACCTGTATGGTCCAAATGAGTAAAGTGAAATGTGAAACGTGAACTTAGGCTAGTCTCATTATTACTTAAGTAAACTTCACACCAGGAGTCAGCTGCACCATCTCTCAAACAGACTAGTTATATTATAAAATAATAAGTCAATTTAAGTTTTAGCTTAAAATCGACACTTCTAGCTGTTGCAGCTGCAGTAGTGACAAAGCTTCCAATATGTTGCTGTGATAGTGCTGACTGAAACAAACTAAAAAAGAACTGAACATCCTCCTGCAGCACAATCCACCGTTGAAACAATCCCACTTTTAGTTTATAGGTGTATAACGTCCCCTGACAGCCCGCAAACAGATAGAAAATCATAACAAACATTATGTTATCCAGCAAGAAAACTGTGTGACTGGCACTGAAAATGCTATGAATATTATTTTAAATCACATTTCACAAAAATAAAACAATATACCTCAAATTACAAAACATTATGCTAATAATGTCAGATTTAACGCTCACATAATGTCGGTTAGATTAGCATAATCAGATATTTCCCACCAATTCAAAACTGCATGAATACTGCTTACTCAGAAATACATTTTTCTGTATGTATTCATACACTTTGACTTCCCTAAAACAGTTATTTTTGACAGGTCTGTGACAGCTTGTGAAACTACAGTGACTTCCTGTTTACATAGTGGGTTGAAATTTCAACTGAGTGAAGGAAAAGATGTTTTCCTGCAACTTGTTCCTACTTTACTAAAGACTTCATAGGAATTTAGGAAGAATTCAACACACAAACTTAACAATGGATGATGGAAATGCTGTTGCAGCCAAGTCCTGATGTGTTGCATACCTGGTTTGAGTTGTCAGGCAGGTAGGTGATGGCGGTGGACAGACTGCCCTGGGAGGCCAACAGGCTGGCATACTGGCTCATCTTCTCAGCCAGCAGGATGCCAACAGCAGTGGGACCGGAGCGCTGGGTCTGCTCCACTGCACGCCGCAGCACCACCACCTTCTCCACCAGGTCCTGAGGAATATAAAGCACATCAGCATGACTAAAAATAAAATCCAAACAGCATTAACATTTTTTGGTCACTTGGGAGCGAGAGAACAAGCTGAAAACACAAAATCTGACCACTTCTTTCGCATTCTGCGTCTCTATAAAGTCTACTCATTTGGAGATGTTTCAAACCCCCTTATTAATTTAAACTTAATATCCCCCTCACAGTGACATCATTGGACTGGGAGGCTGCTGAGGTCCTACTGAACTCTAACTGGACTTACAATCACATTCTCTGTAACTTACAGCTAAGTGCACTACATCTTTTTAACTTATTAAATCCATTTTGCACATCTTACAGCAATTTGCACACTGTATGCATGCACATGTTTAAAGGTCATGCTTTTACGTTAGTACTTTGTTATTTTATTCTTGTGTGGTCTGTTCTGCTGCTGTGACAAGTGAATTTCCCCCTGGGGGTAAACACATACACGCAGCTTTAATGCAGCTCTAATCGATATTTCTATAATGTAAATGTATCACTGCAATGTGACAGTGTGAGAGGGGTCACTCATTGCGATGAATACAGAGGATTATCACCTGAATCTGCAGCTCCTCTATAGCTTTATAATGAGTTTCAGCTCATTGTTTAGCTGTCCAAACTTTACTGTTTTGATTCACTCTCACTGCTCCCATAACAGACAAAGTTAGCGAGTAGCTGGTAAACACAGTGCAGCAACATGCAGCCAAAGAACCCGGTAATTCTCTGAGGAGTTGATGGAGACAAACAACAGAGCTAGAAGAGAGTAAATATTAGATTTGAATTCATCAGATGGACAGAGATGCTGCCCCCAAGTGTCTAAAGAAATCCACCAGTGCAGGTTTCAGATAAAGAGTCACCATCTCAACACACCTGGAGAGAAAGTGGGCAGTGTCCGTTCTGTGCTCTGGTCCAACAAGCCACAAGTTTCTCCACGTTTCCAGCACAGATGTAACACAGACAGGCCTGGGCTTGCAGTTGTGCGTCCTCTGCTGCCTCTAGTCTGCCCCCGAGAAGGTCTAACAAACAGTTCAGTTAAAGAACACAAATTCACAACTGAGAGAGGAGTACAGGCTGTATGTCAGTTTGAATAATAAAACAGAAAAAAGCAACGCTGTGGTCTAGTGAGGTCTATCAAACAACAATATGCATGTAAACTTACCACAGAGGGAAGAGAACTCCTCCGGCTGAGCGTAGGTCATGACCGCAGCCAGAGCCTCCTTCCAGTTCTGCAGGTCACACGTCTTCAGGATGTCGTGCCAGTCTTTCATCACCACTGCACTGATCAGCTGCAGGACAAACACATGGTTTTATCATTGACAACAAACTCTCACAAGCTCATAAACTGTCAGTAAAACAGTCTCCTTACTGTTACCTTGGTTATCTTGCTGTGTGTTTTCGTAAAATACTTTTTCTGGGTCTTCTCTAAGAGCTCGGACCCTCCGGCGATGGCCAGGATGATGCTGTCTGCCATTCGGTTGTCATGAAGACAAAGGTCCACAGCGCCCTCAAAGTCTCCGGTCAGCAGGGCCTGTGTGATCAGCCCGTCCACATCTTCCAGGATAAATATTTTACAATTATTAAAAACGCAGGTCATTTGTAACTGGTTAGCTGAGGGTGACATTCAGTAAAATCTGCTAGTTTTATGTCATAAAAAGTTGAGAGTTGTCACCTTGACTGATGCTGAGAGTGAGTCCTTCTGGATTGGCTGGAGCTAGAGCTGGAGACGGAGCAGGAGCTGGAACTGGAGCTGGGACCTCAGGTGGCTCCTCAACTGCAGCTGAGGTCTCAGCAGGACTGGGCTCCTTCTCCACTCGTGCCGTTTTCTCCTGAAACACCAGAGAAACATCCCGTCATGTCTTAAGTTCACTCTTCTTTTCCTACCCACATGTTCTGCAAGATACAGACTCATTTCAATGATCCTAACCATGCAGATATCAGTTATATGATGAAAATAAAACCAAGAAACTGTGAAACTATTTACCCCAAAGTGAGAAGAAGAAGAAACAATAATTTAATCTGTTACCCTTACTGGTGATTCTAATCCAATACATGTTTTTTTGTTTGTACTCAGCCCTGGCTCTGTAAATTGGAAACAAGTAAAGTAGCCCGCACCCTGCAGGTCACATTACATTTTACATGTCTAGCCGACGGGCATTCAGCTTACATTCTAGTTGGCCAAGACATGCTGTTGTTGTGATGTTAACTATAGTAGCAGGAGAGATGTGAGCATAGCTGGCTGCCCAACATGTCCCTCAAGCACAGTGGGTCTGCTTCAGAGACCTAACTTGTGGTCTCAAGACCGCTTTGATCACTGAAGTGAGTTGAAGAAATCTTGTGAGCCAGGTTCAGATGTGAAGAAGTTTCGGAGACTGATGAAGTCTTAACACAGCATGGTTTATTGAGCCCAGCCGAGGAGATACTGTGTCAGCATACAACATGGGAACACATTGAATGCCAACACCAAATCTGAAGGATTACATCTTTTGGCCTTAACCTAGAAGAAAAAATCTATCTGATATTTATTCTCCAATGCTACGTCATATTGGAATCTATTACAATCCAGGAGTTGTACTCTAATCTGTGGAGCCAGTGAGTTCTTGTAAAGATGCTTGTAAGACTCAACCTTGTGAGATTCGCAGAGAACACCGATATCTGCTAGCCTGGCGCCTGAGCTACACCATCAGTCTAACTGTTGTCTCCCTAACAAGGACAGTTACATGAGAGAAATAACTAGAGCTGGAAGGTCAGTTACCTTTCTCTGTTACATCAACTAAGACACCAAAGAATACTGTTCAAAAGCCAGCAGGTAGAACACAAGTGTGTCCCATGTTTGAAAAATGCCAACACGCTGCCAACTTAACCCAGACTTGATTCACTCTTGGTGTTGTATTCAGAGCTCAAAGTATCCCACAATTCACCACAGTCGACTGCACCACACCAGTCTAGTTTTTGGCGGAAGGGCGCCTTTAAGTTTGTTTTAGGACCCACAATAATAACAACAGAAATGAAAAAGTTATTGCACTCAATGTGAATGTGTCCAAGCTATACTATCAGACTATCGCATCTCGAGGCACACGTGGTATTCAACATAGGACCGGCCGGGGGCTAGCTTGTTAGCATGCTAACTTCAGTAGATATCTCTGCAACACACTACAAAGGCGTCTTAGACGTGACGTCACAACATGTACTTCTTCACATTCTGTTGATAAGGTTAGCTAATTTTTTGAATGTTTAAAACAAAAATTCTGGCCGTATTTTACACTTTGTACCTTTATTCAATGATTTGATTCCTAAAAAGTTTAGCAGACAGAAATGATTCAAAAATGGTATCATGTTATGTCTCTTTCACGCACAGTATACCTGCATGGTTCTAGATAACTTGATTTAATTAATTTAATCTATACTGATCTAGTTGATTCTACCTGTTTGTTCACAATGTGGAAATCAAATTCAACCAACAAGGCATCTGCCAGCTTAAGTGAACCATATATTTTGACGGATGTTCTCATTGATTAATCGTGTCTCAGTGAGCTACAGTTCTTGAGGGGCTCTGTAGCAGTTACCATAAATACGTCAAGCAAGCAGCTACTTGACTACAAATACCGCAGGTGTGGGTACTGGGATGGACCCAGTCTGTACAAGTCCTGAGAAAAGGTCTAATCAACCAGAATAATTAAAATCACCAGCGTGCGTTTATTATAATGAGCAGGGCCTTTAACCGTTACATCAGATGAAACACGACAGTAATTTTGAAGGTAATTCAACTGAGCTAGAAGACAGGATCTATGCAAATGTGCAGTGATGAAGGTTTACCTCCTCCAAGGGGATCTCCTCTTCCTCTGCTTCCTCCTCTGGAAGAGCGTCCTCTTGATCTTCTGCTGCTGGCTCTTCAGTCTCAGGGTCAGGAGTGGAGTCCAGTTCCAGTGTGGCCTCTGGTTGAAGGTTTGCTGCAGCAATCATGTCGAACGCTGCCTCAGGATTGGAGTCCAGTTCCGCTGTGGCTTCTGGCTGAAGGTTTGCTGCAGCAATCATGTCGAACGCTGCCTCAGGATGGTCAGCAGGTGGCACGAGGCTGAGGTCTGCTAAAGGCTGCAGGCTGGCTGGAGCAGGCACTTCCACCTGAATATTAAGGGAAGATATAGGGTCAAAGTCAGGGACTATGATTCCATTTTACCTCCAAAATGAACAAGAAATCAAAAGCTGAAATTAAATTAAAAGAGATATCATTAAAAATTTGGGGAGAAATGTGTAGGGAGGTGCATTTGTTGACCAATTGAAATGGAAAGTAATAAACATGATACTTCTGGCACAAGTAAAAGCAAAATGGAGCCCGGTTGGCTAAAACAAGTGCTGGAGAAAATGTGGACTGCAAATTGGCATTTTTGGAATGATGCATTTGATATGTGAAGCTAAAATTAAAATACAATTCAAGGTAAAAAAAAAATAAAAATCTATCTGTGCACCAACAGGTTAGAATTAGACAAAAACTAAACTCAGACACTGTAGGATCAGCTCACCAAAGGCCAGGCTGTTTCTTTTTATGTATAATGAAAGCTCGGGATCGGTTGTTTGATACACTTAAGATGACTGGATGGAGGCCTTCAAACAGTGGTTGGCATAAAAAACAGTTTAGGAACAGAGCCAGAAAACCTCAGACTGAAGAAAAACTCAACACTAAGTTTGTATTTTACGCTGGAGTCAGGGTCAGGTTTGAGTTCAGACGTGGAAACAGGGCTTTGTGAAAACTCTTGAGTAAGTTCAGCCTGAGATGAGGAAACTCTGGGTTTTCTGTTTCAGAGACCGAGATCAGATAAACTCTAGATCAGTAACCCCGGCAACTTACACTGTGAACCTAACCTGCTCAGGAGGAGGTTTACTTCAACAAACTCTGAGTTTCTCTCTGACTGCTCCCCTCCTGCGGAGCCTGAAGAAGCTGTCTGACATTTCCTCATTCATACTGTCCATATCAAAGCACATATCTGAACTTATTTACGTCTTTAGAAATATCAATACTTTTTTTAACCAAACATGATCTTGAACATGACAGCTTTTATGATCAATCTGTCATCGATGTATGGACATCTTGTCTCTTCTCTCAGCACATCGTGCATTTATCCTCAGCGCAGAATAAAATCCGTAGGATACACTGTCCTTCTTTATAACACAGCGAGTCTGCGGGCATTAAGGCAGCTGTCAGGTTGGCAACAGTTAACTTAAACACTTACCATGAGCTACATCACTGCAGTGATCACTAATCTGTATAAAACTGTTAAATCAACGGTAATTTTTGATATTGTAGTCGCACTGATCGGAACATTCCTATCATAGTTCAACTGGATATGATGTAAATTGTAAATATATATATATATGGTCTAGTGAGGATAACTGTGTTGCAGCTGAAACAAATTAAGTTGATTAAAAGTGAATTTTTCATTATTTGCTGCACAGTCTGAATGTGTTTTTAAAGTATTTCAGAAAATACGAAATGAGCAAGATTTTATTAATGTAACAGATATCTACAACTTTTGAACCTATAGACACATTTTCCACTGCAAAAAATCTGTAATAGGCTAACCTGCTGGGTCTGACTGTGGCTTTAGCCAAGAATCACAGGTCCATGAGTAGGCTATAGCCTAATCTATGTCTAATCTGTTCGATTAATATTTTCATCTTCAGTTATTGCCACCAGCATTTTGTCTCGTCGGGTTACAGCTGAATAAACAGGCCTGTAGCCTATTTAAAATGAATGTAATGGGCGATGTATAGGAGAATTTCAGCACTTTATCATTCGTCAAGGAAATCCCAGTGTGGTAAATGATGAATGAGCAGCGCTGTATAAAATGTAATATTGTCGTATCGACTCTTTCCTCCACTCCTGCGTTTTAACATAAATAATCAGTCAACTCAGAGCTCAGGTTTAAGCTCATAGTTTGTTAAACCTGCTTTCTGAAACAGCGCCCAGGTATATAAACAGACGAGAGGGCGTAGTTCACAAAGACCATCAACATCCACAGAAAAGAGTGAAAGCTTCAGCTTCCTCTCAGTATTTTCAAAAAGTGAAGTAGTATTTGTAGACAAGGCTTCATCTTTATGAATACTTGCAACACTTCCTTATTGCAAAATGTAAGGCAGAGACCAACAGTTTTTAGCATTTCAGCCAAGAACTGAAGCATGAATTGCTGAAAACAGTCATCAGAGATTTTTGTTGTGCTGTCAGTGAGAGAATGTGAACGGCACAGTGAGCAGGAACAAATGAGAGTAGTTTAGTGTGGTAATGAGCAATCTGGAAGAATTTCTACTAACTGGGGAGGGACACCCTTGCTTGTTGTGGATTTAAAAGACATCCACTGGTTTTGTGTTCATACTTGTTGAAGTTTTTCAAATAACACCTAACGACTGCATCACATAACTTGTATAAATCTCTGTACGCTGTAATAAATGTTAAAGAATATTCTTAGGCGTCTTAATTGATGTAACAGGGCAGGTCAGCTTGGAGTCATTAGCTGACCCCACTAGTGTTCACTGACCTTCCAGCTCTAGTTATTTCTCTCATGTAACTGTCCTTGTTAGACAGACAACAGTTTGACTGATAAGGTAGAGACAGTAGCTCAGGCGTCAGGCTAGCAGATATCAGTGTTCTCTGGGAATCTCACAAGGTTGAGTCTTACAAGAATCGTTACAAGAACTTACTGGCTCCACAGATCAGAGAACAACTCCTGGATAGAACAGATTCCAATATGACGCAGCATTGGATAATAAACATCAGATAGATCTGTTGTTCTAGGTTAAGGCCAGCTAAAGATGACTTAAGAAACCTACAGGCACTTGGGGGAAGACAGAAACAGGGACCAAAAGATGTTATCCTTCAGATATGGTGTTGGCATTTCGGCCATGCTAAGTCTTCATCAGTCTCTGAAACTTGGGGACACACCTGAACCTGGCTCACAGTATTTCTTCAACAATAAACAGTGGTGGCTTATCATCAAACTGGATCTGATAAAAAAATTTATGTATTCATTTATTGTCCTTGATTTTATTTGCGTCGTTCTCAGAACTACTCATATTTCTTTCTGATTTTAGTCAACAATTACTGATATGTGGCAGTGCCTATCTACTTGTGCAATACCATGTTAATTGTGTATAATAGACTGTATTCATGTGTGCGATAATGAAGTCCATTAAATATGAAGCTACAGACAACAGATGAGGAAACAGCATAGCTAGTGGCTCTGTCCAAAGGTAACAAAACCTTTAATGCACACTAATTCACGTTATATCTTGTTTGTTTAATCCACAGAAAACATGACTATTTCTTCGTCATGTGCAACAACTTCCTCAAGTTTTAGCTGGAGTCTCGACATTACCACTCCAGAAGTTACTGCAGCCGGCCAAGATATTAGTCCGACACATCCTTTACTGGGAATTAATACTTCGTTTTTTTTGTGGATTAAACAAACAAAGATATAACATGTTGATTGGTGAGCTTAAGGAGGTAACTTTGGGCAGAGCCGAGCTAGCTGTTTCCCCCTGTTAACAATTACTATGCCAGCTAATAATCTCCTGACTCTAGATTGATATTTAATGGACCGATATGAGTGGTATCGATCTTCTCATCTAACTCTCGGCAAGAGTGAAGACAAGAACCAAATGTGAAACTATTCTTTTAAAATACGTCATGAGAGTTGTGCTCTACAAAAACTCACCTGCAGAGGGCCAGCAGGCTTTTCCTCTAGCGCTGCTGAAATCTGACAACAAAAAGGACACAGTTATCACAAGCTGTACTGAAAGACACTTGATGAAAGTATTAAACAGAAAATGTTGTAAATAGTGCTAGAAAAAATATCTGACCTTTAAGGCTAGTTCCTCTTTGTTGTACCCCAGGAGTTCCAGGTACTTGCTGCGGATATCACTTTCAAAATTAACCTGAAAATAAATAAATAAATGTCACACAAACAACTTAAAGAATGACAACATTATTTATTGAAAGCTGTATATGTTCAACTTTATTCAGATTGTTCTAGAAAAAGATTATTTCTGAATTTCCTACCTTGAGGAAAGACCAAACGGTCTTTTCAAACTCATTTTCAGCGGCATCGATCTTTTCCTGGCAGAAATCCACAAAGCTGCCTGCACTCAGAGTGGCCTGCAGCTGATCGGAGCGCTTCAGAAAGGCTGTTTCTGTAACAACCTGGCTGACATGTACAACATGTGAAGTGGGCTGCTGAGGCTGCTGAGGGTTCGGCTTTGTGTTCTCCAGAGAGACCAGCTTCCCACCAAACTTGAAGTGAACAAAAGCCAGAACAACATTGAGTGTTTAAGAAGGTAAAACAAAGACGCTCAATCCTCAATGTGAAAATTAAAAGACACATGACTCACAGCAAACGAGGCTCCAACTGGTCTGCGGATCCACTTTGGTGGCTTCTTCAGGGGGTTGACTGTAGCTGGAGGCGCAGTAGTCTGGGGCAGCTGCAGAGGGGGGTAAGTTTGTCCTGTTCCAAAAGGATCCATGTTCCCAAACGAGTTGCTAATCTGTAACAGACACCCAGAGTCAAGGTAAACACAAAGGCATGATGATCTATATGCCAGATATCTTCGTGTTCATGATATGCAGCCGCACCAAGCCATCACACAGTATTTAACAAGGCATCAATAATAACATAGAAACAGTTGCAAAATATAAAAGAAGACAATGACATCTTATCACGATACTTTCATTTTGTTGTTTGTTCCATTTCTGGTCTTTCTCCCGACTTTCGGTCAATACTGCAGTAATCTGCTGAATAACAGTTTACCCAGAAAATACTCGGATCTTCAACGGGCTGGCAATCGAATGTTGTGCCCTTAAAGCTGAGGTAGGCAGCGCTGGAGAAACTACCTAGAGATAACTACATTTTGAAAGTATTCACTCAAAAAAATCCACTCCACTCCCTTCAGGCCTCCCTCCAAACCCACTCCCCAAAAACACATTTTCATGCGTCATGAGCAAGCAGGTAGGTGTTGTTTTTGTGTCAGAGCATTTAATTTGAGGTATGTAAAGAGAACAAAAAAGGCTTCAGAAACAATTTGCCTACACCAGTGCACTAGGTTACAGTTTATTTTCACACAGATTTTGCAGAAATCTCTTTGAGCGCACATTCTCTGAATATATTTTCTTAGCCTGTCATCCCCTCAGAGTATCTTATAATTGCACTGATTGATAAACATATGAAGATTGCCTCTTGTTTATACAACTGCCCTCTGTCCATATCACACATAGGAGATTTAATCTCACCTGGTCAGCATGTCTCTGGCTCTGCGCCTGGTTGCTGCCTCCCATGATGGAATAGATGTCGATGTGTCCGTCAAAGCCTGCAGCCGACAGCACCGCAGGGTTCCTGGGGCACCACTGGATGTCAAAGCACCACTGACTACTGATGGGCAACTCGTACAGAACCTGAAGATTCAAGCAGATGATTCACTATCATCACAGGGATAACAGTAGACCAGGTTTTTCTTCCTACTTTGGTTGTGTCAATAACCTACGTATAAATGACATGTACAGTAAACTTTTACCTCTGCTGTGTTTGGATTCCAGCACAGGATCCTGCTGTCCTTCCCGCAGCTCAGGAGCAGCTCAGGATCAGCCAAACTCCAGGCGATGGCCAGGACACCCCTGTGTATAAGAACAGCCCAGTTATGTGTTAAAAAGCCACATGATTTTTAAGCGATACGGAAATATTCTATACCGTCAACAAATCTGATGAAAAAAAACTAAAACCAGAAATATCTTAGTCTGTCTCTCGGTACTTTCTGATAAAACTAAAGAGTTTCATTAAAAAAAAGCTAAATAATTTCCATAAACAGCTGGTCACTTTAGAATTTAGCAACTTCCCTCAAACAGGAGGAAATAGCGTATTTGTTGGGGACTATTTTCAGCAATGGATGAATCTACATGTGGTGCTCTGGTGAGTGTGTTTCACGGTGATGAAGGAACTTGCCATCCAGTGCAGCAGTGAGGTTCACTGATGTGTTTTTAATAGTTTTTGGGCAACAATGGAGCTCTATGGCTCAGAGGGAGAAGAGATATCAGGCTTTGGATACACAGATAATGCTCATTAGTAGGATCAATTAATTGTTGTCCTTGAATGATATTTATTTTAAGGAAAAGGAAAGATTTACGCTGCCTTGGTGCCAAATTTAAGAGGGGTGTTTACCGTGTGTGATTCTCTAAAATCTTGAGAGGAGAGGTAGCAAAACGTAAGTCCCACATCTGGATGACGGGCATCCGGTCGTCCTCCGAGGACAAGACCAGCTGAGTGGCAACTTCTGGGTTCCAAGCCAGCCCAGAGCAATGCATCTAAAAGAACAGACACAAAAGCAGACAGTTTCCTGTGAGCAGACAGCACCAAGGGATTGTGAGAAAATTTATCCAAGACAACATGTGTTAATCTGAGTGCAAAAGAAACTACGTACTCGGTTGCTGTGGTCGCTAACTTTAATAATGAGGTCATTCTTGCGAAGGTCCCACACTGAGGCTCGGCCACTCGGGCTGGCAGAGGCCAGGATGTGTTGTACCTGTCTGTTCCAAGACACACAGCTGATGTCCTCCAGAGGCTTTAAGACAAAAACAGAAGCTCTTTATGTCATTATACATTCATTACAGTCAACCAAAGTCTTAAAAATGTAATTCACCTGCACAAGATGGCACAGATTATGTAAAATGAATTTTTAAAACTACCTGAGTTTTAGGTCCTGGTGTCATTGGAGAGTCAAAGTTATTCATATCCCAGATATAGATTTCAGACTCGTTCCCACCTGATGCAACTAGGTTTGTCTGCAGCAGAGGACAAAATACAAAATTAGCTTTTGCATTTAATTTTAAACTGAGTGAAGGAAAACGACACTGGAGTAAAACGGATCATACTTGGAACGGGTTGACGTCGAGAGCTCTCACTGGTCCCGTGTGCTTGTCACTCTCAGCAATGATCACGTCGCTCTCTCCAGCCATGATCTTTGCAGGGTCGTACAGGATGACGTTGCCGTTCTCGCCTCCTGCAACAAGGACCCCAGACGGGTTACCTTGGGAATCCATTCCATAGGGACCCCACACCAGCTTGTGGTATCTGCAGGGGAGACAGGTGACGTGTGTGATGAACAGATAAACTGAAAGGGAAAAGTCAACTACATGAAAGTCAGTCAGCAGCTTTCAGTACCTGTGAGAGGAGGAGAAGGTGCCACATGACTTCATGTCCAGAGAAGGATCAGTCAAGTCCAGCTCGAAAAACTCCAAGGAGGCATTGGTGCTGAAGGAGGCATCCAGCTGCTGGGCTGATGTTCCTGCAGAAAGAGAGCACAGGAACCGAGACTTGTATTTATTAAACTAAAACAAAAAATTACATTAAGAATGCCCTAAAAAGCCAACTAAGGGGTAAAAATGTTATTCGCAGAGTGTGAAGAATAAGTGACATTTATCAAGAGACTAACTTTTAACTACAGAAAACTGTAAGAATAACCTTTAAGAGCAGCCAAGTCAGGATTAATAATCAGAGAGCACACTTTTGCCACATTCATTCTTTTAAAGACATCCTTATATTTTGTTAGTGATGCGTTATCCTGCAAATGAAATATGCAATTATAATGTTCAACAAAACAAGTTAGAAATCCCTAATATCAAAGAATTAACATGTACAAGTAACAACAACGTAATTAATGTACGTATATTATATAACTAAACTAAATTGGCTATAATGGAATCAAGAAGAAATCCAACTGAAGCAGGAAAGAAATTCTGCTGCTGGTATAAATCAGAGAAAACATATAATATGGAGAATTCTGTAGCATTTTTTAGTGCAGACAATTAAAACGGATGGAAAGTGGTTGCAAAAAAAAAAAAGACTGCACTTTTATTACTGTTGTTTGCACCCCAGATCCCCCTTGCATCTTTGCATCTTTACATCAAAGTTTCGGACTTTACTGTGTTATCCATGGCAGTGTTGAAGTTATCGTAATGTCAAATAAACTAAATAAAATCTATGTGTACTGTATAGTGCTGGGAATAATGTAAGATCATTTCTTTCTGTCTTTTTCCAGCTAAAAAAAAAAAAAAAGCTAACAAGTAAGATGACTGAAATGATATAACGCCCTGTCAAAACACCAGATAGCAGCAGCAGGCCTGTGCTTGCTGTACGCTCATACCTGTTGCAAGGTAGATGGGGTGGTGCTGTGCAGGACTCCAGCTCTGGATGGCTGTGCGGTTGATCTCTTTAAGTTTCATCCTGGGAGGGGGAAAAGTGCACATTTAATTACAGTAAATTATACTTGTATTTTTGTTCCTCTCCATGTGGCGTCTGCAGGAATCACCGCAGATAACAGAGCACACAATGCACACAAGTATCTTTGGCAGAATGAATAAAAATGAGCTCATGTTGCTGGGTTTTACAATTTAGTGTTACGTATTTAGTATAAAATTATCTCTTTGTGTTTCCAGGACAGTATTTCCTTGCTGAGCCACAGTAGCAGGATTAAACATAAAGAGAAAAGTAATTCTGAAAGATCCCACTTGATATAAAGCAAGACAGCACTTCGGTGTTGCACTCTGTACTTTACGTTTCTTTGTTCCAGCTTTGTTGTCCTTGGCTTTAACTACTTATATTTCTGTTTAAGAACATTGAGAGCAACGAAAAACTGGAGTCAAATCCCTTGTACATGTACACAAACCTGGCCAATAAAGCTGATTAATTTGTCAAATGACTTTTAACATGCATGCATGATTTTGTCCCCCATCACAATGTCATCCCAGTAGGATCTTTTCACAGCCAGTACGGACAGCAGAAACCAGTTTATAGGTACACCTAGCTAAAACTAATAGTCAAATACAACATCCATGCAGTAAAAACCCTACCTTCATGCAGGGTATAACATTCAGATTTTGTTCAGACTGTGTTAAAGAGGTGTTGATTATTTTATTAATATATCTATTTTGTTGTCCGCCCCTTATCAATGAGACTAAATAAAAGAAGCACCTCTTTCTATAATATAACACAGTTAATCATCAGCACAGTTGAATCAACACCTCTTTACCATAACCTTCTTTAAGGTATGATTTATTGTAGGGTTGTTGTATTAGCCTTTGTGTAGTTTGAGATCTTCTTTCTCTCCCTGAGTCCAGACTATAAACTGAAGGGGACAGAGCATTTGCTATCCAGGCCCCGAGGCTCTGGAACAACCCGCCTGAGGAAATCTGAAGTCTGAGTCGGTGTCTTCTTTAAACTCTCTTCTAAAAAAAACGCCCTTTTATTGGAAACTAAATCATGATTTCATCTTAGCTTCCTGTTTATTTTCTGTCTTCATTTTATACTGCTTGTTTTATTTGTTTGTTTTTTCTTTTTTTGACACTCATGTACTTCATCATTCACTGTGGTATTTGACTTCATCTTTCTCTCTGTGAAGCTCTTTGTACTTTTGTTTTGATAAGTCTGGCTCTCTATAAATAAAGTTTATTATCATTATCATTAGACTGTCTTAGTTTTAGCCAGCTCTACCTAATGTAAATTGACAGCCGAGTGTAAGTAAGTTACTGTTTTAGGACAGACTGTGTCATTTAAATCTAAGAGGAGGCAAACTAGTCAATGCATCAGGATGGTCTGTTGTTTTCAGATTCTGCTTTTTCACCATTCAGTTCCGCTACTGTAGGCTAATACATAAACTTAGGTAATTACAGAGTTACAGGCCTTCTTTGACTGACACTTAATTAACTTACCACACTGCTTTGTGGAGCTCTGTTGCAGCAATGACACATGCGTTGTCTAGCTTTATAGAAACAAGGGAACCAGCACAGTGTACTTCTTGCATTTTAAAGGTTACCATTAGCAACACAAAAAGTACAGTACGAGCTAGCAGCAAGCTAACAGCTGATGCACCAATTAAAAGGCAATAAGGAGCATCAGAATTAAAGTCAGAAAGCTGGAAAAGGGCTGCAGCTTATTGTCACTTTTTGTACATACTCACACTGGGGCACGGTACAGCTTGTCCTAAAGCTACGAGGGGACATTACGTTTTATAGCCTGCTAGCTGCCTGTGCAGGCAACACATAACAGTGGGGAGACAGTTACTCACTCACGTATCTTATCACTTCATAAAAGCGGCTTACCTTCTTCTTCTTTTCTGCTTCTTACATGAACGCACACATACAATAAGTGGCAAAAACGGACAGCCTCCGCCCGAACGAGTTCCCCTTTCGGTTCTGCTTTGAGGATTAACGGCTGTAAAAACAGAAGACGAGGCTACCGGGTCCCGGGTACGGACTCAAGACAGATTTCCACGTCCCCACTGGTCTCCATCAACGTGGCACTAAGCAACGGTCTCCTCCTCCCACGAAGAAGAAGAAGAGCTTCCGGGGGACGTCAAACACGCCTGCTAACTATGCTAACGCTGCTAACATTTTCATAATTAATCTACTCCAAACACTTTAAACAGTCAAAAAGAAGCTGGAGGAAGTAATACATGTGGAACATTTTACATTTAAAAGTATTCACTACGCAATTACTGTGGAGGAAAATGGAATTTATTAATAATAATAAGTTTTAAAGTACTTTATACTTACATGCAAATGATATCATTGTAAATAAAAAAAAGACCTAAGGAGGTTCAACAGTCCCCATGCTCAAAAACAGTGACGCTTTACTGACTAAATACAATCTGGAACCAAGGCTATAATCATAATTGGGTGGGACAAAAATAGGAAATTGGCTAAAATGGAAACAAGAAGAAAACCCAACTGGAGCAGGAAAGAAATGCCACTTTATAAATTGCAATGTCTGTACTGTGAAATGCCTTAGAAAAGACTACAGGGAGACAGGAAGGACAGCTGATTGTCCTGGACCTGCACAGAAACACACCAGATACTTTTGATTTTGACCCCTCCTTTGTTCAGGGACACATTATTCCATTTCTGTTAATCACATGTCTGTGAAACTTTGTTTGTTGTTTTCAGTTTATGTCTTAGTTGTTGATTCTTTTTATGTTCATACAGATATTTACTCATGTTGAGTTTGCTGAAAACAAAAGTTGTAAGTGAGAGGACGTTTTTTTGCTGAGTGTATATTTGTAAATAAAAAAGCCCTGAAAAGGGTGAACAGTCCCCAAGATCACAGTGATTTTTTTTACTAAATACAATCTGAAACCAAGGCCATAATCATAATATATATATGTATACATATTTAAAAAAGCTCCAAATGCCAATATATTGATCAGTTATATTCTCTCTCTCTCTCTCTCTCTATATATATATATATATATATATATATATACACATATATATTCTACAACAGGCAACTATGGAATAATCATTAGCAAATGTAACGATAACTAAACTTAACAAATTGCAATTGCTATTACAAACATTTCAAGTTTTACAGTGTAGCCTACTGCAGTGGTTATTAAAGTGAGGTCTTGAGGGGACTCAGGAGTCCTTGTGGGGGATCCAGGGGGGTCCCCCCACAATAATTCCATCCATAAGCAATACAATGACAAACTGACTATTTTGGACATGGGTTTCACACACTTTCTGTAATAAAACTAAATCTAAAAGCAAAAATCCTATCAGTGGGGTGATCCCCGGATAAATCACTTTATTAAAATGTTGGATGTCAAAGTCGGATTATATGCAAGTATAAATATGAGATTGCTCTACACATGTTTAAGTTAATACACTTGTGATAAGCAGGGGAAGTCTGCCCCACCATCCCAAAAACACAAACACCAACTTGTACAACAAATTGTATTTATTCGACCATGAACAACTTACAATAAAAACAAAGCCAACAAACCAGTCAGGTGTTTATGGTAGATCTAAATGTATCACGTTGTTATCTGAACATGCTTCACTTCAGCAGGTCGACCCTGAAAGAATATTGCAGATATTAAAATAAGCTGAAAGGTTAAATTCACACAAGAGAAACAAGCTCTTTGGTTGGAAAATTAATGCCAAAACCCTCATTTGTAAGTTCATCTATAATCTTCCCCAGACATATGAATGGGTCAGATGGGTAGTGATTGATATAATCATTGGGATGGCTATTGACTTAATTAAATATCAGAACTGCAAAACATACATACATGACTAACAGCTCCACAGCTCATTTCACTGGAAGTCCTTTTCTTCAGTTCATCTGTCAAAACAAGATATTTTTAGATTTTCAGACGTTAGTCATGTAGGTGTAGATGGGGGTATAATTTGTGTAGTTTTTACACAATTAAGTTATACAGAAATTAAAATCATAAATACATTAGCACAAATTATTATTGTATTATTGTTTATTTAGCATAATATGGTATATGCCGAATTGAAGAGTTGCAACTTTTATTCAAAGCATGTTAAGAGTTTTGTTTTGCTGGTTAATGAATATTGGTTAAATAAACGAGTTCAAGTTAAACAACACATTTTTAAATAGGAGTTTGGCTTGAAGCGGATCTCACACACTGGAACACGTTGACTTTTCTTGACCACGTGCTCAGGTGGTGGTGGGTGAACGACGCGAGGCAGACTAACCACCTGCGCTGTCTACAACACATTGTCACATAATAACTTGGTATTAACGGATTTATTTTAAATTACTCACCTGATTACGGAACAAGGGCCAGTATTTCAGATAAAATGCAATTTCAGATAACGTCGCTGAACGAACCTCGTTTCAAAATCATGATCTTTAAAGCGAGCGAGAGTGTGAGCTACCCATACTGATTTAATATGCACAAAGCATTCATTTTAAACTTTTCCTGTCTAGAAAAACAACTACATGCCACAACCACACCAGCCTTCTTCTTCTTCTTCTTCTTCTTCTTCTTCCTTGTCTTCGAAATTTAACCGCGACTTGCATCCTTTGTGTCACATTACTGCCATCTTCTGGCGTTTCTTAACCCCCACAGTGCCCTGATAGTCAGATTTTCCCATCAAACTTCAGAAAGATGACTGCTGTTTCCACTTCCACCCTTTAAACCTGTTCCTGTTATCGTTTATGTTTTCAATCCCTCCATCATGTCTTTTCTCACTGAGGTATATTTCCTGCAGCTAACAAGTACATGTTCAACTGTTTATGGTACCTGACAACATTCTCAAAGTCCACCATACTGAGAATAGGACTTTGTCTGGTCATTACTACCTCCTCTTTTCTATTTCCTCCTCTGTTTATCTCAATACTCACTCTGTTTTGTAGTACATGTTGCTTATTCTTCTCCTGATCTCAGTGCTGATGACACTTGATTTTCTTCCAAGCAATGTCCTTTCTTTCTGATCCTGAAAGATTAATTGTGGTGGGCTAGGCTGTCCAGCAGTCATTACAGATTACAGATGTGTATGGTTTGCATGTTCAACCCACTACAAAATGGCGTACAACTCAGCCGTGTATGCACTTAAGAAGTTTGACGTCCATTATTGGTACTCTGTGGCTATAGAAACTGAAACTGCAGAACCAGTGTTGTTTGAACAGTGGATCTTCTGACCATATGTACTCTTGTGTATTTACGTTCTCTATAACTATAGAACTAATTTACTAAATCTGCAAGTTTCTTTCTCGCCTTAACTTGAAATAACTCTGAATCTACAGATACAGGGGTTGTAGACTACATCGGCGTCTTCACGCCCAGGTCTCTTGCTGCTGCGTCTCCTCTCCAACAAAAACTTAATTTTACTGTCCCTTCCCTTTCCCAGCAGGACGTTTTTTTGGTTGGACGATTATCTCTGTGCCCTCTCACATTCATCCAGTAGTTGACTCTGAGCTGTTTCCTGCATAAACACGAAGGCATTTCCCCTGCCTCGACTTATAGGGCACACGCGTTCTTCACGCTTGTGTGCACAACCCGAGAGCCTGAACCTGGATCACATCTAATCTTTCAAGCAGTTTCTGATGCAGATCCATAAACTACACTCCCAATAATCCAGCCTTGATCAAATTAGAGCTTCAAATTATATATAAATAAAAATAAACTACAGTAAATTCCACAAACACATTTTAAATAAGGGAATTCCAGGCAATCTCAATTACTGCAAAGCCTTCGGCCCAGCTGACACCAACAGCCCTGCAGCAGATATTTTTCACAGTTGACATTTGATACATTGTGAATACCAATATATTGATTTAGCTCTTATGTGGTAGTACATTTGTCATCGCTAAATAAACGGAAGTAATAAATGTTAAATGTTATAAGTTATATGTTATAAATGCATTACATAAAAAAAAAGACACATTTTCAGCTTTAAAAAACCCCCAGATTAATTACTATTAAAAATCAGAATGGGAGGGCAGGTGAGGGGTTTCATTCAGCCATGAAAAGCAGCCGACAGCAGCTAACTCCACAGCAGACACCAATTAAAGAGGTGGCAGGGTTGGTTTACATCATAGTGCTATAATGAGCACTCTACAGGTGTACCTAATAAAGTGGCCACTTCAGTGTTTGAGCAAAACGCATCATTCATCATGAAACATTTGTTTCATGAGACGAGTTTTGGAAGAATTTGAAACCTACATTGTTTACGTCTGCTAACTCAGTCATCTTCACTGCCTTTGTTGTGCATTCCTAAGTTTCTTAGCATGTTCGGGCACAAACTGAAATATATATATAAAAAATACTTTTAGAAGGGCTGTATTCAAAATACATACTGCCTACTATATTCTCAGTATGTTCTGCATACTGCCTATTAATGAACAATTAAGTTTGCCGTTACCAGCACACTGTTGAAGTATACTAAAGCAAGGCAGTCATGTGACTGCACCACATGATCACCATTGTGCTGTCTGAGTAGAAGCAATGCCTTTTGGGGCGATAGATGTCTAGCAAGCTCACAGCGAACAATTTCATGTTAACCTAGTTTTTACATCCAGGCAATTCTCACATACACAAAATCCATTTAGTATACAGGAACATACCCATACATCAATCAGCGACTTTGTATTGCCTCACTCACCTGCTTAAACACAAGCTACTTTCACCTCGTACCAAATCCACACCTCATACTGACTTTATTTTGACTACTAACCTGCTTAAAGTTTGCTCAACAGTCGGGACTAAATACAGTCGATTTCTGAGTGAGCTGTTGATGGACATTCTCCCACAATGAAATACACTCCCTTAATCCAATGTCAGAAAATAGTGTGAGGGAATCTATTAGTCTGACAAGATTTTACTGGGGCCCGAAGTTGTACCAGTGAGTCAGCAAACAGTACCAGGACCTGGGAACATGCAAAAGAGGTGCAGCCATTTTTAAATAGAATTACTCATGTGCTATAAGATGTCAAAATTAATGCTTTAAAATTTCCGCCTCGGGACATCGGATGGATCAGGTAACTAATCTCTTCATGGAACATCATACAACAAGTCTTATAGGTCTCTTTCCATTCACTGTTTTTAATGTACAGTAAGCATGTGACTAACAAAACAGGAAACAGCACCAGTAGAAATGTGTACTTCAGCTAATCTAGCCGTGTTCCAACTATTCTGGGCAATGCTGTGTGTGCATAATTTATTATGTGTGTGCATTCATCTTACAACTGCCTTTAGGGTAAAAACCTAAGACTGCCTCTACTCAATTTCACTGAAACAATTTAGCCTAGCCTCGGTTATTAATTAACAACTCGCAGCACTATAAGCCACACAATATTAACGCTCACAATGATTACAAATACATGTCAAAATAAATATCAAAAGATACATGTTGTTCGGCTACTGTAAGCACAACTGATTACGTCAAGAGTACAGGCATTTCTTTTTTTGAAAAAACGGAAAATAGAATAAAATGGAAGAACAAAGTTTGGAGAAAACAGATTTGATAGGGAAAATAAAGAGAAGAAACTATTTAATTCCTGTTCAGCACATCTTTGCTCAGAGTCATTTCTCTCCATCACAGCCAGGTGAACAAGGGTGAGAACAGTTTTGAGGGTGCATCAGAGGCAGCTCGCTCTGTCCATTTGTCCTTTAGCTGGAGGAGGGGTGAACAGTGTCTGTTCCCTGTTTATTATCCCAGCTGGCCTTAGCTCACCCAAGGCAGGGGAATCTTCTTTCAGCCCATTGTTCTGCCTTTTGATGAGGGACACGACCTGTTTCCCTGCAGGAGAGAAACCCCCGGGGGGTCCGAGCCATAATGCAGGATAATCCATGCCTCTCGGCCCCCACAGCTGGGGCGGGTTTGAGGGTGGGGAGAGCCAGAGTGCTCGGCCTAGCAGTTGATGGAGGTACAGTCTGCTTTGGCTTTCCCCGCGGAGTTGATTATCCTCATGAGGCAGTGTCCAAACTCCTCCAGGGTCATCCTCTCCGCTTCGGCCTGAGGCTGATGAGTCTGTTCTGCCTTTTTGGCCTGTTCAATCAGACACTCGCACGTCGCTTCAAGCACCTCCTTTGTTACAAACGTATATGGCAGCCTGCAGGGAAAGAAAACAACGCCTTAGTGAGAAAATACAGTACATCTTCCTTACCGTCCAGTAGGATTCTATGGAAGTTTTTCCTCCAGTGTTTTAAATGCTTTTTCCAAGATTGTAGCACAAACAACTTGGATTCATGGTGACGACCGTGAAGAAGTGGAAAATTAATATGTTGTATGATAAAAAGGATCAGGTTTGATTAGTCAACAGTGGAAGGTGAAAGGCCTGATAATTAGTAAAACATTAGAATAGTGGTTAAACAAATAGTTATACCGGCTAAATTAACCTGTTGGTTTTGGCTATATTTTGTATTTAAATGTCTTTATATTTCCCTATGTTGCTGTTATGTGGAGCACTTTGAATTGCCTTGTAGTTGAATGAAATGTGCTACACAAATAAACTTGCCTTAATGTTATCAGCTACCATTATCTGTTAACAGAGACTGCAACCCCAGTTGTGTTCCTCAGTAATATATTTACATTGGTAATTACCTGCCTCTTAACTTTGATTTCTTCTTTAAAGCTAGGACAAGTAATGAAACTATCCAGCAACAGCTAAATTTCTAAAGAACCTAAACGAAACTTCTCACTTCAGATGATAAAAGGGCAAGAGGGAAATACAATGTTCATTATAAACAACTTTAGCAGTTATAATATTGCAATCTTTTGCAGTGGCAGAGTCTATCATTTCTGCACAGGATTCAAATTGCCTTTAAATGACTATGTATTTTACGATATTTTACTTTAATACTGAAGAAATTAAGCTTTAAGTATTTATTAGTATTTTAGTATTTAAGTATTGCCTATACATGTACGAGAGATTCACAGAAAAACGATGCTGCATGCAACCTAGAGTTAGTTCTTTCTCCTACAGCTATATGAAGTTACTGCTAACCTAACATCTCCTGCCGCTAGTTTACATTAAAAAGCATTCAACTGTTGAAACGTGTCATGGTGGCTTTTATTGTTAAGCCATCACCCCAGGCCTGCAAACTCAAATGGGGGGTTGTGACATCTTGAGTATTGTTCTGTCATATGTTCAAACAATAAAAAAACCAAACTTCTTCTGCTTAAATGCAGATACATTTGTTTTTAATCACCTGTAAGTTGTTTATCACACTCTTTGCCTGTATTATTTTTGAACCATTTGACTGAGGTTGTTGCCGTTTTATTTTTTCTATGTTGCTTTTGTGACTATGACCTCGTGTCTACCTACTTGTAACACAAATTGCCTCGGAGGACAATAAAGTTTTCCAAACTGAAACGGAGTTTTGTATTGATATTGATTTGTATTAACATTCACTGCTTCGTTTCATTCATTTTTTTAAATGCATTTTCTTCTTTTGGACGTTGCTTTCATGATTGGATTCATGTTTGACTTGCAAGTCATAGTTTGGGTTTGTGACTGACTTATCGTAGTTAACAGAAGCCAAACTTCACTTGAAATGCTAGGGGTATGAGAGGGAGAAAAAAAAAAAAAAAAGACGCTTATCGTCATCATAACTTCAGCTGTTATAATTATGCAAATGATTATTCCTGTAACTTCTTATTGTTGTAGAGAAAAGTATTTCAGTACCTCCCACTTCCACTTGAAATAACAGGTGTCGTCCGCATGAGCAGGTCTGAGATCTGTGAGGACAGCTTGGTCTTAGCTGCAGTCTGCTGTTGTACTCTCACTTCTGCTGCATCAGCCAAGTGCATCAGCGTCTTCCTCTCTGGGCTCTCCTCAAAGTTCTTGCAGCCGATGCACTTACAAATAGACGAGCACATGATCTTCGCCTTTGGGGCGAAAGGAATAACATATACAAATGTTAAAAGTCTTATTTAGTCAATATGAAGTGAAAGCGACATTAACGCCACATTACTTCAGGTAAAACCCACCTCATAGCACTCGCAGTAGTTCTTCAGGCAGCCTGATCGTTTACAGTTGCAGCCTTTGCTGTGTCGACGATCTGATTCGCCCTCTTTGCCTTTGCCAATTTTAGGTTTGAAGGCCTCTGGGTTCCGGTCCAGACACGTCTGTGAAAAACACATTTCACCTTGATCCATCCGACTGACAGGAGGCAACTCAGCCCAGTAAGACAACTCACAAACCTCAGCCATACCTTTATAGCTTTGAGACGTTCTGTTTCATGTTCCAGGTTGTTGAAGCAGTTATTGCAGTTGCAATTATTGCAGAACTCCCCGTTTGCAAAGCAGTCACAGTATCTAGGGGAAGGGGAAAGTTTAAAATAAATAAAACTTCCTGAATAAGACTGATTTAGCTGCATATTTCAAAGTGCTCCTCACTCACAAACAAGTTCACTTTTTATATAAAGTTACACATCCAGAGGCTATTTCTGCACACTTTAAATCAAAAACTACAGTCATACTTACAGTTTGAGACACTGTGACTTGGTGCAGTTACATGGTTTCCTCGGTCTTGAGGTTGTTTCTGCTGTTGACAAGCTGGGAGACAATGAATAATCACTTAGATTAAAATGAATCCAAACATATTCAACCAACAAATCAGTACAGTGGGGAAAACTCATTTAAAAAAAATATATAACTTCGAGCTTCAATTGAAAGTAAAAAAAAAAGTCCAAATCCAGATACAGACTGGAGACACTGTGGTTTACTTGCATGTTTTAGCTCCCAGGCCACTATAATGCCACTTAATAATCAATTAAAAGATATACTGTCACATTAAAGATTAGTAGTATAAGTAAGCAAGACAGTGTTTCCATTAAGCCCCAAATTCAATTTTAGTTCACACTACTGTTTGTGACCTAGTTTGTATTTTATTTTGAAAACCAAACAAAAAACGCCCATCAATGTTATATTTTCTAGTCTATTTTAAAATAAAAAGATTTAGTTTGTCTGTCCCGCATCAAAATAATAACTGCCT